CTCGCGACTTTCTTCTTTTCAGGGGGCTTTTATTACTATTTTTAGTATTCTATTTGGATGGTCTACAATGAAAGAGCAGTGCGTAGTGAGTGAAAAATAGGATTATTAAACTGTTTTGGCCAGAAAAATATTGCCTGCCCCAAGCATCGAGATTTCGATGATATATGTCTAAACCCTTTGTTCCTTCTAGGAAGCAAAATCATCAGGCCCTTGCGTTTTTTTTCTAGGATGAAACACTAAACAAAGTATTTGATTAAAAAAAATAAATAAATAAGAAAATTGAATCAGTGCTTATTCAATATTCTTTGAGAGGAAAGAAAGATCTTTGGAACGATTCCAGTCAATAAAATCTTGTTTTGGTTCCCACCACTTCAGTTCAATAAACCTCGTTGAAAAAGGTGTTTAGTATACATCAAAAAGCCGTGTAAGAAGGATACGGATACAAATCGAAAAACAGTTACTATTAAAGTATCGTAATAATGATAATAATATAAATATCTGCCCAATAAATTTGAGGATTTGTTGTAATGAAATATATCGATTGATGAAATGAAAGGAGAGACAGCCTACAAACTAACCCTTTTTTTTAAAAGTAACGGTTTCGTGTAACTTAAAATTGTTAAAGGAACTGTGTTACTCTCCTCAAGAAGTATAATTGCAATGAGGTTGATATTTTTTTACAGAGCAAAGTTGGTTGAAAACCCTTATATCTTGAGCAGGGCGGTAGCTAAGGGAGGACTCGTGTTGGGTTTTTGGCCCCCCAAGCCTGACTCCCAGAAAAAAATCTTTGGTCCACAAACTCTCAAAAATTTTTACACCCCCCCCCCCCCCCCTTAGAAAAATATTATTAATTTAATTTTTATACAAATTTAATAAAACAAGAACATATTAAAAATATCGGTTATAAAATATCCATTCACTCATTTCATGAAAAAACAGCTGAAAACATAAAAATTTTTTTACTCCTCGTCAAAAATAACAAACCTCATCTTGAACATGGTAAGTCAGTGACTAATAGTGCACACCAATTTTTTGGAACTTGGAGGAAGAGGAAGTTGAAGGTTAAATAGGTTTGTTAGAGTTTTTAAGTTAAATTTTGATTAATTTTTTTGATTAGAAGCTATTTGTTTAGCGTACAGGAACTACTCTTCCGTTGAGACTGGTTTCAACAAAAATTACGGATGCTGCAAAAGATGAAAAACATAATTTATTCTCCTGGACTATTTACAGCAATATTTTCATACACCATCTTAAAAAATTCAAAAATGCCCCAATAAGACATCGGCCCAGATTCAAAAAAAAGAAGCAATATCTTGTTATGGTAGATATGGCGCTTGCTTATATCTCAGATATATATATAAAAAAAGTGAGATGCCATTTTTTTTTGTCTTTAAGACTTATGAGACTAAACCTGAGCATAATTATTCTCCATATTTTTTTTTCTGCAGAAATCCCAAGAAAATTCGATAGGAACTATTAATTTACAAGTGTCCTTCTGCTGAAAGCATTACTGATCGCATTAAAGCAACTTAATTAGTTAAATAGGATGGTGCAAACGCCATGTCTGGCCGAAATGGAGGAGTACAAACCTTACTTTCAAAAAAAATTTTAATAAAAAGTGCCTTTTATACAATTGCTTCAACCACAAGTTGCATCTTGTAAATATTGTTTCTAATTTCTAATTATTTTTTAATTTATTCCAATGTATTGTATAATATTTTTGGCGTTTTTAACGTATCCTGGGCCATACTCTTAAGAGACTTCTAGAACCAAAGGTGCACAGTCATTTAGAAACATCAATTTTGAGGGCCATTGTTGATGTATGAATTTACTTTTCTTTATAGAACTCTTAATTCAGAGGGTTTCCACTCATGATTCCGTCGAAGCCTTTGGTCTTGTATCTCAATGAGTTGTAATGAAAATATTAATAACAATCGATCTTCTAAATAAGTATCTAACAGTCAGTAGGTATTAATAATCCAGTGGGTGCTAAAAATTCAATCGATTGCAAGAATTCTTTGGATTTGATTAGAATCAAGGCTGAGAAACTTAGAATCAAAATCTAATCTCTTCCCCCAAAAATTCATCAAGGAATGTAAAACGCCTACAAATTCTTCATGATTTTTTTTTAGTATACCTTGTCCCCCACTTGGTCCTAAGATTATTTTATATCAGATAATTTTTTTTTAGTATACCTTGTCCCCCACTTGGTCTTAAAATTATTTTATATCAGATAAAAACCCTTTCTTTCTTTCTTTCTTTCTTTCTTTCTTTCTTTCTTTCTTTCTTTCTTTCTTTCTTTCTTTTTTCTTTGAAAAAATAGCAAACAAAAAAACAGTGGATTATTTAGCTGTAAAAGAAGTTAAAAGATAATTTTTGAAAAAATATCCTTAAATATTATATATATGTATTATAAAAACACAAACATTTTAAAGAATTGTATAAATTCTACCACTAAGCCAGCCAGCCATCATCACTGGGGTTAGCACCGAGGTTTCCTGTGAGGATCCATTCTCTACACTAAGTATAGAGTTCTATCGAGCACTAGAGAATGGATGAAAGATCAACGGAATCAAAATTTCAGTATTTTTAATTGACTTATGGAAAAAAAAAAATTAATGAATAACAACAAAATTTTTTCCCTTTTTAATTTCAATTTATATGATTAAAATTTTAAAAATACAAAAATAGTCATGTTATAATATTATCTAACGTTAGTCAAACAACAAAACGGCAAGGCCATGTTTTTAGCAAAGTTGGGACTCTAACTTAGAGATTTTTAATTCAATTTCTTAGGCTAAAATCTTGACCGAGCCACAATAGAGAAGATCAAGGTTAGGTAATTTAACAGCACTAATTATTCCCCACCTCACCCCTAGCTAAGAATTCCTGGCTTCAGCTATGATCTTTCCAGAATGAAATACATATATTTTTTTTTGTTCGTTTAAAGGAATTTTGTTTGAAAAAAAAAACGAATCATCGCACGGCCATTTTTTATTTTTAACAAAAAAACGCTTCCGGGCACACGTTATGCCGCGGAATGAACCGCGTAGTTGTTACGCGTGGGTAGGCAAAAAATTATTATTTTTTTTATATATATATATAATATCATTTCAATCGCTTTGTGAAGGAAGATTGAGATTAGATTTGAAAAAGAAAATTAAAATTTAAAATATTTAAAAAATAAATATTTTTAAAAATAAATTAAATTATTTTAAATTTTTTCCAAAAAAAATATATTTAAAATTAGAAAATTAAAAAAAAGAAGATATTTTTAGCCGAGATTTGGCGGGTGAAAATAATTTTGCCGATTCATTTAATCCGAGAATTTCATAAATATAAAAAAAAAGGTGACATTTATCAAAATTTAATTTTAAATTTTCAAAAAAATTAATTTTTAAAAATAAATATTTTTTTGTTAAAAAAAAAAACGAAAAAAAACATAAAACATGGGATTCAATTACTCGTATTTGATGGTAAGAGTTTATAAACCCATAAGGCTCGGTTTTAACCGACGGCTCAGTTTAAACCGATTTTTTAAAAAAACGGATGATCAAATCTTCGGGCTTTGCAATGATATTTTTTTTTCCGGATAAAATTATCGAGTTTTACCCGTTTTTTTCAAAAATCGGTTAAAACAGCCGTTTTATTCGTATTTTATTTGTATAATTCTGTGGGCGATTTAACTAAAAATATATTAAAAATTTATAATTAACATGTACTCATAATAATCTATTTTTTTAAAAAAAAAAATTATTATAAATTAAAAGAAGTTTAGAAAATTAAAAGTATTTTAAAATTTATTGTTAACTGTCATATTTTAATTTTATGAATTTTAAAACCTAGAAAAATTAGACCCACAAAAATGATTTTTAGCGTAAAAAATTTTAGTATACGAAATTGATTTTGCGCAGGCGTAATTAATCAAGAGGCCTGCATGCCCGGCCCTAAAACCCGGTCCGGCTCAATTATAGCCGGGCCGGGTTTGAAAATTTTGTGACCAAATATTTGAAATCGCCATTATCAGCTATATAAAAAAACCGAAAATAAATGTAAAATATTTTTTAAAAAAAAAGCCGTGCTCGAAGCCTCCTTAAAATATAAAACTCGGCTAGCCAAACCGGCCCGTAAAAAATATTCGAAAAATCTGGGCCGGATCCGGTGGTGCAAACGATACCTCTTCAGGTCTTCCCTGCAGGAAGATTCAACATAAGGACCTAACAGATTACTCTCAAGAAAAAAAAATAATTTATTGTATAATATTAGGACAATTGTCTCTTTCTAAAAAAAAAAAATGCCTTTTCTTATTTGAGGAACTGAGGCGTAGCAGAGATTGGTAACGAGGAACTCCAATCTTTACACTCATAGTTTTAGACCAGTTCTAGTTAGCCTAAAAAATTAATTCATAAAAAACCCATAGCAGGAATTATAATCGGATTTGAAATCTTCGATTCCTTAAGAAACGTAAATCTTTTCTTTTTTAAAAAAAAAAAAGGTATGCCTCGTGGTAGCATGCTTGATCAATCGTTCTTGGCTGATTCCATATTCGGAGCAAGGCGCGATTTCCTTGTCATCCTCAGACGAAAACGACTTCCCAGGTTCGGTCGATACATTGGGGGCCGCGATCAGAAAAAGATCCGTGAGCGGAGATGATGAGAATCAAGAGACCGGAAGATCCAAAAGAGATGATAGGCACCACCACCACCACCATCACCACCATAACCGTCATCATCATCATCATCGCCATCATGGGGGAAGCAGTCTCAGTTTGTTCTGAATTTAATAGAAAAACTTCTTTTAACAAAAAAAATAATAATAATAAAAAACAAACATATTTTTAAAAATTTAAAGTAATATTTGTGTTTTTTTTTGTTTTTTATGTTTTGAAAATTATAAATTAGTCCATCTGTTCCCTGTATTCTTAGATCTTAGATTTAATAATATTACTTTTCACCCGATAATTATTGTAGATTAGAATAATGTAGAAAATATTTATATTACTATACCTGGGTTTAATTTTAATAAAAAAAAAATATATTGAAATACCTAATGGAATCTTAACGTCGTTAATTATTTGACTGTGCCTCAAGGAATACAAAGAGAATCAACGGAAAGAGATTAGAGATTTAGCTTTAAATTAGGAGTGTGTAAAACCCGCCAAAAATTTTAAATAAGTTAGATTTTTGGGGAAAAAATAAAATAAATATTTGGAATGCTTTTATATAACTCGGTAAAACAAATTCTAATCTAAATTAGTGACGGGCATGAATGAATCAACGAGAATTTCTAAGGTTCCCTTATTCTACTATCTAACTAAATCAAAGCCAGGGGGGGGGGGGGTCGGACTTGGCAGAATTAGCGGGGAAAGAAGGACCCGGTTGAGCTGGGTCCTAATCCGACTCTGTGAATCTAATAAGAGGAATCTCCAAAAATTTAAAATAAAGTAAGATAACACAGGCTCACTTAGCCAACCAAGAGCAAGAGTACTAAGAAGAAAAGAAAAGTGGTAAAAAGGGGATTAACGATATCATAAAAAATGATTCTTTATTATATTTAATGTTCTTGGGGGGAGAGGGGTTATAGCGTCAAAAAAAAACTAATATTATGAGATGTTAGAGGGGGTGTAAGTTTTGACCCAAAACCCTATAGCTAACACTTTTTTTGCGCATGCGCATTTAGATGTTACTTTATAATTTTGCCCTAACAATCGCTCCAATCTTTAATTTTAATCGAAACTAAAATGTACACAAAAAACACCTCCCAAAAATGTCTCCTCTATATTTAATTATCAGGAACGGGTTATTATTAAAATGTAGGGATTTTCTAAATCAATTTCCTGAAAAGGGTCATAAATACGGGAGTTTGCATTGGGCGCGGGAACGATAAGTGTTTCAAGGATTTTTAACGTTTTTATAGGACAACAATAGGAGATTAAGGATTTTATGTGGTGATTGATACCTATTCATT